GTGGGGGGGGGGGGGGGGGGGGGGGGGGGTGCCGCTGTGAAATCATCACAGCAAAATAACGTTTCAGGTTATCCAATTGTCCCAGAAGTACATTTGGGATATCGATTGTCTCGATAATGGGGCATCCCAAGCAGGTATGTTCGAGATAATCATCAGTAACGATCCCAAAGCGTATTTGGGATAACGATCATAAAGGAAATAGAAAGGAAATTGCCCTTTGACGGCTCGTGTCTTCTCGAGGTGACGAGCGTCTCCTCACAGGGCAATATTTCGGGGCGACGAGCCACTTCAGAGGGCAATATTGGGCGTCGTGCTGAGAAACATCATCCAGGCCTTTTCCTTCTCATTAGGGGATGATTGCGACCGAGCCAGAGCTCCCCCGATCCCCGACGTTCGCATTCCTCCCACACGCGTTTTGGCAGGAGTCGAGGCGGATCCGGGGCGAGTCGCCAAAAGTGCGCTCGAGAGGAGCGCGTGCCAAGCCCGCTCCCGGCCGCGCGACCCCCGTCTCCGTCGACATCCTCGACGGCGCGAGGAACGAACGAGGAATCCACAGCGACCTCCCATCGCTATCGCATGAGGGGGAGTCCCTCCCCAGGCCGACATGCATGATTCAGGGAATCCGCTCGTGCCCCGTCCCCTTCCCTTCGTATCGAAACGTGCTACGTGGGCCGTTATCGCTTTCATCGTCGTTATCTGTGTTCATGAAGGCTTTCTCCGCAGTTTCCATGAGCGTTCGTGCCTTCTCGCGTGACCTTAGTCAACAGTCAGGAATATATCAGTATTGAGATCTTCTGACATGAGGAGAGGCCATGACGCCAGATTGCGATCTTCTGACATGAGGAGAGGCCATAAAGCCAGATTGAGATCTTCTGACATGAGGAGAGGGCATGAAGGCAGATTGAGGCCTTTGACGTGAGGAGGGGCATGAAGCAGCCATTCCTCGCTCCCAATTGTCAATTCCTTTCCGATTCGGATATTCAGCTCGGCTATGCAGCTCGCCGTATAGTCAATTTCGGCTGGAATCCATGCGAATGGGGCTTCATGCTAACGTGAAACGACTGAAACACCGATCAAGTCAACGAAACTCTGGATTTTTCATACCAAGGGTCAACAAGTACAAACAAACAAAAACAAACAGAAGAAAAATGCTTTTAATGCCTTCGCGGACCCCCCTCCCCTCCCCGGGGCTCACGACTGGCCGCATTCGTTCTTGTGCCGCCTTTCCCAGTCGTTCACCTGCAAGAAAAAAGCCCTCACGTCATTCTCCACGAAACCGAGGGCCGCATCGAAAAAGAGGGCCTCACCGATGACGAAGGACCTCACCTGGCAAACTTTATTGCAATACGCGACGGCCTTGCAGTTGGCGCACAGCTCGTCGGCTGCCTTCCCGCAGAAGTTGCACGTCGTCGGGAAGTCCAAGTCTTCCAGCTCCTGCAGAAATGACACCATCAACTTCTCCAATTCGCAAAATATAAAATTAAAATTTCTCGCGTTTCCGGGACTCACGTCGTCTTCTGGGCTCCCCCCGAGTCCGTTTTCCACGGACGCAGTCGGCCCGACCGCTCCCTGCTGACTGGTCGTCGGCTCATTCGACGTCGACGACGTCGAAGCCGCTGCTGGACTTTCAGAAAGACACAGAACTTCTTCGGAAGGAGCAGGAAAGTTCGCAGGTTGGACAGACACAGATAGAACAGACGCAGGTGGAACGGACACAGGTGGGACACACGCAGGTGGAACAGACGGAGTCACCACCGTGAAACTCACGCTCGACGCACCCGAGACGTGAGAATTCACCTGCGACGAAGTCAAGACCCGCACGTTCCCCGCAGCCGCGCCGGTCACGTGACCCCCGTCCACCGCGACCACGTGACCTCCCAGCGGTGACGTCATCTGACCTGGGAAGGGCGCCGCCCCGTCTGAGAGTCTGAACCGCTTGTTCGGAGGCAGCGACGGCGCCGGGCCTCGCTTGAGAATGTTCGGAACCTCCACCCGCTTGATCACCGGCACTGCCCCGACGTTCCACGGCCGTCCGGGCATCGGTGCCTGTCCAGGCATCGGCGCCTGTCCGGGCATCAGTGCCTGTCCGGGCATCGTCGCCTGTCCACCCGGCAGAGGATACGCCAGTCGAGGCTGGGTCGCCTGTTGAGGCGAGGGGAGGGAGGGTATGACGGGCTGGAGTCCTTGAGGCGTGGCAGGATGCAGTCCTTGAAGTGTGGCGGGGTGCGGTCCTTGAAGCATGGCGGGATGCAGTCCTTGAAGCGTGGCGGGCTGTGGAGTCGCATCGTGCGAGCCCGGCCTCGAAAATATTTGGAACCTGAAACCAAGCAGCGAAAAACCTGCAGCTTCAACGAGAAAATTCCACGATTGCTGCTCGGTTTCTGAGGAGTCCACTGCTCAAGTGGACTCGTCGTGCACTGTTCGAGAAGGCAATGGCGGACGTGTCAGTAGCCTACAAGCGATTTTTTCTTTAAGAAACCGTAGAAACAAATGTCGAGAAAGATTGACATTGCTTCATTTCTTCGAACCTGCCATGCGCCTGTCGAGCCAAAGAAAATTTTCGGCGGGGATTGTGGGTGGACGTCTCGGCAAGAGCGGGATTTCCGAACCCTCTTCGTCGTTGCATTATCTTGGCTGGATCTCGCATCGTTACCAGACCGTGGAGACCGATAGAAACTTTTTTTTTGTTCCTCGAGCCTCAGCTCTCCTGCAGCGCATCTGTTGCCTCTTCCGGCGGAAAATGTCGGCAACCCGGCAACGTTTTCTTTCGCGATAAAGAAAGGCTGCCGTTTCCCCTCGCAGAGCAGCAAGCCTCTTATATACTCGATGGGAAATCCCCAAAAGTGACGTCTGGAGGTTATGTAATGTGCCGATGATCGCGGACCAAAATAGCCTTGCACATTACCGAGATAAGGATTTCGCAACGCGAAGGGATGAGGATATACTAAAAAGGGCGATACGACACTCAGCGAGGCATGTTTCGCAATAGACTCTCGATTGTCGACACGACCATGACACGACATGGTCGTGTCGGTCCGAGATGCCAGCAGTTTCTTTTGGTGGAGAGTGCTTTATTTCGTCCGTGAGAGAATCCGTCGCCACGGTCGCCGACTTTTAACTTTTTTTCGTCCCAAACGCGGTATAACTCGAGGAGCTAAACTCCGGCGAACTCGAACTCACCATTTCATGAAGCGGCTGAGCTCCTCGTCGAGGAGGAGCGGCGGTGACATGTTGAACTTCTCCACGGAGTCGATGGCGAAGAGCGCCCGCATGTACGCCTTGCTCCGCGTCTCTACGAGGAACCGGTTCCCCTCCTCCCCCGTCTTCTCCAGCACCAACCGGTTGAACAGCAGCGCCGCCAACTGGAGCGCGCTGAAGGCAAGAATCGGCGGGAACCTCACTCGCAGCTTCGCGTAGTCCTCCTGCAGCACCGCGTGCCTCTCCACGATGAGGTACGACAGGGCGAGGAGGAGGGCCTCCCGGACGGGCACGGGGACGCTGCCCATCACCGTGGCCATGAACGCCTCCAGGACGCAGCCCATCGTCTTGTACTCGGGGGGGATGCTCTTCAGCAGCATCGAGATCGGCTGCTTCCGCACGCGGTAGAGCATGAATCGGAGGAGCACTTTGTGTCGCGGCTCCGATGCTTGCACGGGTGGGTGTTGCACATGCGTTGTTATCGAAAGAGGTGGTTGCTGTTGTTGTTGTTGTTGATGTTTCTGCTGCTGTTGTTGCTGCAGCTGCTCATGTTGTTGTTGTTGTTGCTGTTGTTGCTGTTGTTGTTGCTGTTGCTGTTGTTGTTGCTGTTGTTGTTGTTGCTGTTGTTGTTGTTGCTGTTGTTGCTGTTGCTGTTGTTGCTGTTGTTGCTGCTGTTGTTGCTGCTGTTGCTGCTGTTGTTGCTGCTGTTGTTGCTGCTGCTGCTCCTGTTGTTGCTGTAGCGGCTGCTTACGTTGCTGCTCCTGCTTTTGCTGCAACTGCTCCAGCTGCTGCCAAGCAGCAACGCACTCCACCGGCGATATGGACGGCATGGGCACTTGCACGTTCTGCACTCCCTCTAATGATGCAATCTCTCCGTCATCCGCCAGTTCTGTGGTCATCTGTCACGGCGTCATCAGACTGGTCCCTGAGAGAGAACGCGAGCAAGAATGACTCTCGAGAAACCTCGACCGGCCCGACAAGGAAAAAGCACGGGATTCAGAGCCTTTCATAGCGCACTCATCGCCCCGGAATCTACGGCGATCGATCGATGGTAATCGATCCCCACCGTGACTCTCACGGGATCAATGCTCCACAAGACATTCCATTTCCTTCACTCTCGTTTGCTGTGAAGATGGGCAATGTAGGGGAGCGGGGTGTGGGGGAGCAGGGCGTGGAGGAGCAGGGTGTGGAGGAGCGAGGTTTGGTGGCATCCCACATATGCAATAAACGTTCGTTGTTTACCCTATCGATTATCTAATTGCCAGCTCGGAATGAGATGGAGAAACGAGGCAGTTCCCCCTCTCGAAGGGCGGGAAATCGTTTTACGGCTCTCAATGAACGTCAAATGGCAGTGACATGTCAAGTGGTGACAAACGGTGACATGTCAAGTGGTGACAAACGGTGACATGTCAAGTGGATGTGGTTCTGAAGTGGAACTGCACGATTCATCTCGAAGCCTCTAACTCATCTCGGTGCAAGCGAATGCCAACGGAGGCCGACAAATAATCACGCGGAGTTCTGGGGCATTTCATTTTCCACAAAATCATTGCATTAAACCGCTCAGACCGGAATTAAAGCCTCTATCGGGACAATATACGTTTGGCATTTTTGCGCAAATTTGCTATTCTACTTCCACTTTTTATTCTCTATATATCGTTTCTCTGTTTTCTATAAATATACCATATCAAAACCATATAGTATATAATATACATGTAAATAAACAGAATAACTAATATGATAAAACTGACAACAGAGCTGAGCTTCCCACGGAGTTCAGTCGTGCATGGTTCAATAGCGTCCATCGTGACGGCACGTGAGGTTGGTGGGTGACTTATAAGTCACGAGAATCCCGAGGAATCCCCATAGAAGCACACGAAATGCCCATCGGAACGGACACGGGGGACCGAAAGATCTTCAAATCTGGATCTTCAAATCTGAATCTTCAAATCTGAACGTACGAGAATCACTCGCTCCCCGCCGCGAAACTCTATCGAGGGCGTGATTACGCAAGAGGCTTCCAGCGAATGAGGGTCATCAAGCAAAGGGTTACCGCGTGAGGGTTCGCAGACGTAAGGAGGCCGAAGGCCCCCGCAGCACCGAGATCGTTCGCTGCCGTCCTGCAGCGAGATGAAACGAGCAATTATTTCCAGGGCCGCCGAACCTCCCCGTAACAAAAAGGGAGAGTGAGAGGGGAAAAACGCTCACAGGGGACAGCCTGTTAAACGAGAATGCAGCGGAGCGGGCTTCAAAAAGCCCCAAACAACCGGAGGGGAGGCGGTGAATGAGCTAGGCATTCGGTGGGGGGGGGGGCAAGCCCTCTCCCCCCCCCCCCCTCTCTCTCTCTCCCCTCGTCGATCCTTTTCGCATTGGCAGGTGAAAGGAGGATGGATTGTGGGCCTGGAAGGATGCGTTGCTCAAGGGCGAAGGCATTTTTCTTGCCAATGAGTCCCGTCTACTGATCCCGTCACCCGGGAGTTCACCGGTCTTTCGAGGTCTATCTTTTCTCATTTTCCGTTATATTTCATTTCTGCAGCGCGAAAAGGTCGTAAAAATTTTCTGGGAAAATAGCTTCCATGCGGATTCCCCAATTGGCGTCTAGATTGCGGCATCGAGACGTGGCATCTAGACTCGAGGGGTCGTTGTGGGCGGATGCTCACTGTCCCTGGAATTTCCTCCGATTACTTTTTTTGCGATAACGTTGGACTTCCGGTCCCGATCGCGACAAAGAAGCGTCGGCATCGTTTTCCCTCCCGAGAAGAAGGCCTGCAAAAAAGAAACAGGCTAGGGAGAAGGCCTGCAAAAGACAGGCTGAAAGGCTTACTCCAAGAATCGGCCCACTAAGGTCTTAAAGTGATTAAATAAATCCGGTGCGGGCGATCCTCGACCGATTCCGCGGGATTCGGGCTCGACGTGGCCCACACGTGGCCAACTCGTGACCCACACGCGACCCACTATTTGAGCGTGGCCCCCCGCGATCAGACACATCGTGAAAACTGGTCGTGATCGAAAAAACAAAACCAAGCACGTCCTTCCTAGACAAACTCTTCCCACTCAAACACCAACTGATGAGGTAATCGTTAAATTTTCCTGCCAAAGTAAACAAACCAGGGAAGGGGGGGGGGGGGATTTTCTGGTCATGAGGATTGCAACTAGGGGGGGAGGGGGAGGGGGCTATTTTCTGGTCATGAGAATTGCAACTGTGACCTTCATACTTGTTCGTCAGTCTGCCCGCTAAACTTCCTTTGGCGGTGCTCCCTATTCCCGCATTTAGATGAAGGACTTCGCAGCGTTCTCTTGCGTGTCGCCTGTGAAGCGATAATTCCAGGCGTCCTACTTCCGGGCCTGTTTTCTGAACTTTCTATTTTGCTATTTAGAAGTCCTGGGGCCTGTTCCTCGCCTCTGCTCAACTGAATCGAAATCTAAACTTCATCAAATTTAAGGAGTCCATAAGCAAAACGCCTCTTCGCCCACTCTTATTACAACTTCGTTTAAAAGGCGGAACATTTTTAGACAGGTACGACCCGGTCTAAATATCACCTAAAAGTTGGGAGAGAACTCGGATAATTTTCTTCGATACCATATGGGAGTTATGATCGGAAAACGAGTGAGCGATGACCGCGACGAGACGGCAGGAACGTCCGTCTCGGGCATCGTGATAGATCTCAACCGTGACAGCACCGTGACCGCACCGTCACCGCCGACGATCCCCAGGGGGAGCGAAGGGACAGGTGACCGACCGCGCGCACGGCCCCCGTCGGAATCCCGACCTCGCGACGGGGCCGGGTTGCAGAGGCTCTTCGCGTGCAACAGGGCCCCTTCCTGACCCTGCAGACACCCTCGCTCGTTCCACCCAGACACTTTCACCGCCTTCCCCCGCTCGCTGGCACGAGTTTCCCTGCTCCAAGGCCGCCACTCCTTCATATCCAGACAAACATGTGCACTCCCCATCGTGATATATTCTATTATTAGCTCCAAGGGGGGGGGGGACTTTTCACTCGGTGACGTTGCATTCTGAATGGCGAAGGAGATATCCGCCAATAATCGGCACGTGCAGAATCGGGAAACGCGTTCGTGGCACGGAAGTCAAGGACGACGCCGGAGTGGGACAAGCATAGGGTTGGTGAAATCGCATCGATTAGCACGGGGGTCACGGGGTTCAATCGATGCTGGAGTTTACAATCGTCTAGGAAACGGGACTGTGCGTTGCGTTGCGCCGAATTGCACACAGTTTTATCACAACAAAAAAAGTTGTGCGGAGCTTTGACTATGGCGAAATCCGCATGAATGTCTTTTCGCCAGGGCAAGAAACCATGAGTCACGTGACACTCGACGCCTCTAATTGCGTCCTATTTTCGACTGCTCAAAGAAGAAACCAGTCGTAATTGTATTTTGTCTCTCTGCTGCTCAACTCACAGCTAGTTTGCCGAGTTAAACTGAGATGGATTTAAAATCTCCCTGTCGCAATGTTGAAACTAGAGTTAAAACAATCTGACGCGGTTCGCTTCGCCTCGGTCTGGCCCCATGACAGCAGAGGTTGCAGCAGCAACGGTTTTCGTGCAATCCTGATGGGACCTGCGGTTCTTTAGAAGCAGACCCGCAAATGGCTTTAATTTTGGTGTCAGAGGACGATACGGATGTTGCACCAGTTGGATCTTCACGGCTGACGAAAATGAAATGTCGAAACCCGAATGACCTCTTTTCTTCCCGGGGGGGTCGTGGGAAACGGAATGCGATTGCCGCGATTCACGCGTGCATCGTCGATTTCGATCACGTTTTTCTGCCCGGTGTCGGGTCCCGACCCCAGCACGTCCGGTTTCTTGGCACTACGAGCCACGTCCGGATTCGGTCCGGTTCGGAACGGAACACCCTTTCACTTAAGGGGCATCAACTTCGAGAGTGACGCTATAGAATGTGACGGATTTACTGCGGCATTTGTCGACTCATGCTGACGAGACTGGTCTGACAAAGGCTCGAACGTTGGCGCACGTTACAGCGCCCAATTCATAAATATGCTCATGCCGTGCCACTATGCTCATCAACCGAGCATAGTGAACCGATTTCATCTCTCCTTCGGGGCAGGAGGTGGCACATCACATCCAGCGGGGCGGAACGATACGTCCAGCTGTGCTGGGTGGAGTCCTTCGGCGTGACGGTCGATCCTTCTTTCCTCTCTCTCCCGCTGCGACTCGAGTGAATTTCGATCACGGCTCGGATGGTTTGCTGATGGTAGCAGAAAAAGTCAAATCCGGTTCGAAGTGAAAACGTCTAAATCACGTCACGATCGGAATGGGAGATGAGCTTTCACAATTTTGCTGAAGAACCTTGAGTCGTCGCTGCTGGAGCGCCCCAGGGCCGTCGGGTCGACACGAATCTGTAGGCAGGCTGGCAGATCCCCATGCTACAACCCTTCCTCTCCATTCTTGCAATTGCAGCTCAATGTGGTAGTGGATATGCATGTATGCCAAATTCGTTGTGAATCAACGAGAATATCGTTTTCAACGCATGTACTTATTCGTTGCTGCTCAACATCGTCACACATCACCCGTAATAAAACGCAACAAGTTACTCCAGAGGTC